TAGTGTTGCTGTGTTGCTGTTGGAATATGCAAATTTCGCAAAAGGATATGCCCATGCATAAATGGCATTTGGATGCAGGACCAGTCGCAGCACCAGCAGCCTGGACTCGACAGACGACAGCAGGCAAGCGACAGAAGACGGCGACAGGCAGAAGGAATTCGAGTGGCAGTTGGAGACACGAGACAAACATATTTCATGTAGTCTCAATTGGAATTCTAAATCAATCAGATTGAGACGATGACTGGGTAGCAATTCACCCGTCCGTCCCACTGTCCACTTGTCTGCTGGTCAAAGCCACCCAACAAACGGACCAAGAACAGAAACAGCAACACCAACAGCAACACCAACAGCAATAGCAACAACTACAGAAGCAACCTCTTGACCCCATCTGTCTGTGCATTAAGTAAGACACAAATCATAATCGTATGCGTGTGCAATGAGAACGACTAACTAGCAACTGGCACGACGAAAGCAAGGACGAAGACGAGCCAGAGTCACTGTTGGCGTGTTAGGATATGCAAAATTTCAAATATGAATTGAACTGATATATTAATGGCCACTTGGGCTACCTAACGGGCAATGCACAGCACGGTGGCAGTGGCAGGGGCGGAGGCGGAGGCGGGCGGAGCTACAGCCAGTCAGCAAAAGTAGCTGCAGCGTCCGGCGCACGAGAGAGGGCCCAGGAGTCAGGACTCAGGATGCAGCACTTGCGCTCAGTCTCAGCCTCAGAGTCAGAGTTGAAATCAGAATCAGAGTCGGAGTCGGAGTCGGAGTCAGAGTCGGCGTTGGCATTTATAAATCAAAATGTTAGGCCAACAAACCTTGCCAGGCCGAAAGGACATGCCTACAGCAATGCAATATCGATGTGTGTGTGTGTGTGTGTGTGTGCGTAATTGCCAGGAGCTATAGCTGCAACTGTAGGCAGCAGCATATCCTTGACTGCAAAACGTTGCAGCAACCTATCTCTTGGCCCGGCCATATAAATAATGACAAGCACGACGACAAATAATAATGCACACACACACACACATACACACAGAATGATAGAGAGAGAGAGAAAGAGACACACAGGATATGTAGCACAATAGACCTGCAGGAAAAAAGACCTGGTTGAGAGCGAAATGGCACGATGTATGACTGTGTTTGTGTGCGTGTGTATGTGTGTGTGTGTGTGTGTGTGTGTGTGTGTGTGTGTGTTAGTGTGTGTGTGTGTGTGTGTGTGTGTATGTCTGCTTGTGCATAATATGAAAATTTATGTGCGGAAAGGATTGAAAATAAATTTATGAATTATATTGGTTAGAAAATTGCATCTACTCAAGGATATCCTTAATGTTTATAGGATATGCATGCGTTTTACTGCCGGTGTTCGCCATTGTCTTCTTGAATGGTAGATGGAGACTGCATCTGTATCTATATCTATTGCTGTATCTGTATCTGTATCTGTTTCTGTGGCATGCAACAATGTCCGTCGCTGAATTTATTGTTTGTTTGATTTGCATTGTGCCGTGGCGACAGTTGACAACGGAGCAGTGCAGGATACTCGCAACTGCCAGCAGCACCATTTAAGTCGCTTTTTTTGTTGCTGTCATCTTATCAGCGATAAAAGCCACAATTTGCCCGCTCTTAGTGCTGTGCAACAACAACCACAACAAGAAACGATGTTTACCAACACAACAAATAAAAATCAAGGAATCTGAGTGACTGTCGTCGACCTGTCCTCGCTTATCATAAAAATCCAATAAATGTTGCTACTACCACTATATTACACCACACACTCACACACATACACACACACACACACAGACAGAAAGACACATTTTTGAAATGGAGACTGCAGCTTTTGCCTTTTACGATTCGGTTTTGGCTCAGTCTCTATCATCGTCATCTTTGGATGTAGTTTATGATATTTTTTCCGATGTGTTTGTGTGTCTGTCATTCCCTGTTAAATCTATCAAAGTTCCGCTCCATGACTGTTGCCCATCCCCAACATGTGGAAAACCATGCACTTGAAATAATTTCAAATATATTAAGAAAATTTAAGGAATAGAAAACTCGTACAATTTAAGCAATGCTCTGAGTTATTTTCGATATCACACTTGAACAAATGTTAACGAAATTAATAGATTACTCATTCATGACTAAGCATATATATAAAAATTAAAAATAAAAATTACATTTTTTATCTATTTTGCAAAATATAATCTAATTTATTACCTTTACGTATTTAAGATAACTAGCATATAAATAGATACTTAAAAGATACATTATGGAAAAAAATAAACTAATCTCAACCGCTAATTTTTCTCAGTGCATGGCACACCTTCCTGTTGGCGCACACATACTATAACGAAATCGCAATAAAAGTTGCTCGGCACGTTTATGTTTATTCCCCATGCCAAACGGTAGACATCATCATCAGGAGTCGCAGTAGATCAAATAGCTGACAAGGACGCCCAATTCTGGTGGCTTAAGCCACTGGCTTTAAACGACCCACTGCCAAATAGCTGCGGAGCATTGGATTAGTTTATCATTGCTTATAACATACATATATACATCATTATTGATAAGCACGCATTGCTGTGAAGGCTGGGGTAGCTTATATTACATAGAGAAAACAGATTTATGATTATAAACCAAATTACGAATCCGCTTCTAACAATATTTTATTCTAGAATGAATCGTAGATTAAAACTCTCTTACTACAATTATTTACATGATGAGATTTCAAATAAAACATTCATTAAATAATATCAACTTCATTGTAATAAGTGGAACATTTATCGACATTAACCCTGCCCTAAACCCAGACAGAGCGCATGAATGAGAGCAAAAACAAAACGATGGCTTCACTGCACATGATAATTGTGTTTTGGGGCGTGCATAAGCTAAGTCAAATTAATTTTAATTTGAAAGTAGTGAATTGGTATTAAATAATATATCAACAACACTCAAATCACTCAATTAGGTTTTAATGTGCCACTATAATTGTCACCATAACAATTGCCACATCTGATGAAACTACAGCATTCAGAGTTTGGTGCCGAACTGCTATATAAGCCGCAGCCTCGACCCAGATCTTAAACCCTGGCACACAGCGAATAGTATCAGAATGCGTATATACTTGTTACTCGGCCTGACCCTCGCCATCCTGCTGGTAAGTCAAACCCATTCCGTCAAATTCAACATCTCGTTAATAGGAGTATTAATCCTGCACAGCAACTGGCCGCAGCCCGAATGATGCCTGTCCAGGATGTCCAGCATCATCACTCAACCACCGTGGCCAGCCTAAGGGCCGCTGCTGGAGTCCCGTCCGGACGGCCTCCACGTAATGGACCACCACCACCGCCACGAACCACCGCCGCCACCTCCTCCGGTTAACAAGTGAGCTGGGTGTGAGTTTGGAGCCTGGACATTATACATTGGATTATACCTGGACCTCGTATCTATGAAACTTATATTAACACTGTATGTAACACACGAATAGAGCATCCCAATAAAGTAAAAGTAGTGGCAAAGCAAATATAACTTCCTATTCTTGTCTAAATTATGTAATGAAATGCTGTAGATCTAGCAGCTGTATAATTGACTCTCTGATCAATAATATTCGTTTTATAGCCTGAACCCATTCAAAATGGGTAAAAATGATGCAATGGCTTAATGCAAATGTTTATAACATGCAGAAGGAAACGTCTACGACCCCATAAAAAATATATATTCCTGATAAGTATCAACAGACGAGAATATCTAGACTCTTTAAATTATTAATGTAAGTTCTCGTATCTCCCCGTATCGCATATATAATTAAAATGTCCAATCTTAAAGGTATTGCCATTGATACATAAAACTATCTGACATTTAATGAGAATTATTAACCAGATGTGCATGTTTCTTGAACATAAGATAAAAAACCCCCTTATTTTTGTGCTTATCTTAATTTCATTAGCTTTCAAATTAAGAAAAATTTCTAGGTTTCATTGATTGGCACTTCTGAGTATATCGAAGATTTGTCGATAGTGCACTGAAAAGAAGTTCGTTCCTGCAGAAAGACAGTCGAACGAACGTTTTACACAATATTTAAATACTCTTGTTCAAAGATTTTGTGGATAAGCCATTTAGCAGGGGATTTTTTTTGGTTTCCATATACTCACAGCTTTACTCCAGTTTTCAGGTAGACACAATTATTTAAAATGAAAAGTGAACCACATTTTAATTTATACGTTTTTACTTTTCATTCACGCGAGACATTTTCACTTTGTTGCTCTCGAATAAAAAATATCCATTTAAATGCTTTTGTTACTTTTATGAATGTAAAAAGTCGAATGTGGCCCAAGTGAATTGACCCCAAACGCTATAGCAATTGCGCCAAGTGTGTGTCAGAGATGAGATGACAATCTTAAACAATTATAAGGCCACACAAAAGAATTGCATAGTTGAAGGCACTCAAAATGATTTCACAATTAGAACAGTCACAATAATGGTTATAATACCGATCAATCCGACTGCTATAACCGGAACTAACAGTTCTTTGGAACGAAAAAACAACATAGGTTTATCTCGGGGACATTACCTAGTTTATCAATGAAGCTAAAAAAAAACAAAAAGAAGTAAAGATTTACTTTATTGTTTTTAAAAATTATTATACGTTATCAGTGTTGCTGTTAATTTATTTGTTCTAATACCTCTGGTGAGTAATTTCGTAATTTCATCATTCCATGAGAATATGAATGGATAGCGATCGGTAAATAAACCTTGGACAATGCATGCACAAAACCATTTCGCCATAGATAAACAATTTTATGATTTTTCTATAAATCGAAATATCACGTGAATGGAACAAAGCTCAACGGCTGCTGCGATTTAAAACAAAACATTAGAATAATAGAAATTACAAATGCACAGGCAATTTACAATCACAATTACAGTCAGTTTCCACGCCGAAGACAACTATAAAAGCGACGACTGCAACTATTGCCAGCAGTTGTATTTGGCTGACAGCTTGAGTGGTTCAGTGGATCAGCTACCATTTCCGATGCACAGCATAATGCAATTATTTGGCCTGCTACTTTGCTGTCTCTTTCTGATGGCCGGCTTGGGCAAGTTGCATGCCACACCAATTGGCGACCATGCCGAACATGCTGGCTGCGTACGTGTGACGATCATCAAGCAGCCACTGACCACAGCCGCACCAGTAACCACAACACCACCGACTACAACAACTGTGGCGGCTGGCTGAAAAGCCGAGTTAAAAGATTTAAAAGTATTTTTGTTATTCAAATGTGAAATAAAAGTGTGCTTAAAAACATCAAGGCGAATGCGAATAAAATGTTCGCACTAACCTTATTATTCAGAAAGTGTATTCCTAAAACGGAAGGTTGTGTTTGATTTTTTCGTATATCTAGTTTCCAAGGCAATTTTTTCCTGAGTGTAGTTTTGAACAATTTTTCATCATCATTTTGGGGCGATTTAGAGATTTAGCCATGTATCGAATACATTATAATTTAATTGTGGACTTATTTAAGACCTGTAAAACTCCTTAAGTCAAGTACAATTATCAATTATCATTTAACTTATAATTAGGCTTTTACTCTTTTAATTTATGTATTTTTTATTTATTATGCTCTGCTCTCTGGCCAGACTTGCCGGTCATCCAACGCAAAGAAAGCAACATCAATTCGATGATATTGTAAGTTATCGCTAGAGAGATCAGTGCACTGGCGGAATTGCATCAGATGAAAATCAACAATGGGAGGAATACATTTGTAATGGTCATATCTCATGCCAATTTTTGCTACTAATTCGGCTAAAAAGAAATGGCATTGTATATTTTTAAGCATGCGCTTAAAATGCAATTTGGATCCGAGTCGCATTCAGAGTCGGTTGTGCTACACCCAGTTGCCAGTGCCTCTTCCTGCTGTTTGGGCTGCTGCTGCTGCTGCTGCGACTGCTGCTGCTTCCCCAGGGGCAATGTAAATTTGGTAATGGCAAAGGAAAAGGCACAGGCAAAGGCGAACCGCACAATGCACAAACAAGCTGCCAAATATAATTAAATATTTTATCGCATAAAAGTGTAGGAAAAGTGCCAAAATTAAACGACAACAAGAAAATGAGCAGCCGGCATGCGTTTGCCTGACCATTTTGCATTGCCCACTGGGGCCACTGGGAGGTGGCCAGGCAGCGGGGGTGGTTGCTTAAGAGAATGGGGCGTGTGGCTGGTTCAGGTGGAGGCCGTTCTCCTAATATTGTTAGACCTGACATTGTTGTCGTTTCATGTAGTCTGTGTGCGTTTGCCTTTGTGTGCATGTTCATGTGCATGTGTGTGTGTGTGTGTGTGTGTGTGTGTGTGTGTTGCTGTATCTGTGTGCTTAACACATGTTCCACAAACAATACGCCCGCAGCTCAACCGACTCGTTCCCACCACTTTGCCACCCCTTCTCCCCTTCCCCATCGAGCTGCCATGCCCCCGAAAAAATGTTCATTGCCCCCAGTTGCATTTCTTTGGTCTTTAGGTTTTTCAGATGAAATCTTTTTTGGCCTGCAACAACAACAGCAGCAACAACAACAGCAGCAGCAGCAGCAACAACAAGGCCAACGTTCCATTGTTCGGACAGAGCAGAGCAGAATCTGCTTTTTTCGACAATTTCCATATGAATTTTAATTATAATTTTTCTATGTTCATTTTCATGAAAACAATCAAAAATGACTTTTGTGCCGCAGCAGCAGTAGCCTCAAACGCCGCCATCTCGACAGGCACCTTTCTTGGCAACGGGTTTGGGTCGAGCTAAGAGGGGTCGGCCTGGCGGTTGGGGGCGTGTATGGTTTACTTGTAAACCCGCTGCAAATTGTCACTGGCATTTATAGCCGCCAGGGCAGCTCAGTCAACAGCTGTATTTGTATGCGAGTGTTTTGTTTGAAGTTAAATTTGTTCTTTCCCTAGTGCGCTACGATTGGGGAGTCGAGAGCAAAGCAACGAATGGCAAAACAACGAAACTTCGGCAACAAAACAACAAAAAAAAAACAACAACAGAAATATTGATGTTTCATAGCGAGAACACATTATTATCGTTGCTAAGATATCTGAGTAATTTTTCTAAATTTGAAAAAAAATATGTATATGGAATACAGTTAGTTGATTAGGTTGAATATATAAAAATATTATTCGAAAATATAACTTGTAAAATTGTAATCTAAGAAAAATTTGTATATGTTTGTAACTTTCTTTTAATAATGTTTGTAATAATGAACTAAATGCTATAAGTTAAATAATATTTTTCATGTATTGCTTAGCATTACGAAATGTTGATATGATTTTGCAAACTAGAAGACGGTAAAACCTATTTATGTTTATGTCATAATTTTTTCAAATTAATTTTTAATAACCTTTCAGTAAATTGATTAATGTTTAAAATATAAATGATATATAAAAGTAAAACTAGACTAAACTTTTCATTTCTTTTCTTCTCCAAATTGATTGGCAAATTTGAAATATAAATATTCATAGTTGAACAATGTACTTAAAATATATAATATCTTATGATTGCCTTATATGCTAATATGCTTCAATTACAGGGTCTAAGAGAGCAGGGCAAAAACAAATTATACGCCAACATAAAAAATTACACTAAAGCGAACAGCGACATAAACAAGTTAACTGAGCGGTGCTTGTACCTGTTGTTGTTGTTGTTGTTTGTGTTGTTGTTGCTGCTGCTGCTGTTGTTATTGGTGGCAGAGAGTGCGGCAGGCAAGTTAGCGGGGCAGCTTCCGTTTCCGTCGTGGCCGAAAACAATCTACCCATATGACAACTGTCGCTGCCACCGTCGCAGTCGCAGTCGCTGTCGCTGTCACTGGATTTGTCCATGCATACGAGTAGTTTTGAATGCGCCGCAAGGTGGCGCACATGTGCCATGTCTGTTTTTGAGATTTGCACCTGGGCTTCCCATTTGCCGCAGGCCAGCACCCGGCACACCCCCTTTTCCATGGTGTCCATAACGAACCGTTGTCATTATGCATTCTGATGACATTTCGCCGCTGTCTTTTGTGCGAGCTTATTTTTGTAGCGGCTAATTAAGAGACAGCCAACTAGCTATGGAAATTCTATACAGCATATTTGTGTGTAACGAGAAGAGTGGGAGTTCTTGTTCTTCATCCCCTTTCATTTTTTAGGACTGGTGGTCTGCTTCTCAGTTCTAGCAGATGATCTTGTGTGCAACGGTTGTGCTGACTTTACTACAACTCAAAACTTAAATAGATTTTTATGGACTGTGATTGGCAATGCGTTTGCTTGTTGTTCTTCTTGTCCAGCTGAAAACTAATTTCACAAGCATTTGTCAGCTAATTAACAATTCAATTTGCTGCATAAGCGACCTAAACATACAAATGAACACTACACAGAGGCAGAGACTTGAGCAGCAGCAGCAGCAGCAGGGTGGCAATGACTACTAATAAGTAGTTAGTTGAGTTGGTTTGCCCATGCACATACACACATACACACACGCACTCCCACACACACAGACACATATATAAACAACAGTAAATATTCAATTAACAGCACGACTAAAGGGCAAACCCTTAACCGTAACCCCTAACCCCTCAACCTGCATTGGTTTTGTAAGTTGGCTGGCACAATTTTAGTTACACTTTTTTTTGGTCTCGTTCTTGCCTGCTTTTTTTTGTGTTAATTTGTTTAGTAGTTGGCTTTGATTTGGCAAAGGTTCACACAAGTCAGACAAGTGGGGCTATGGGTCCAGTCCGGAATCAGTTCCAATTCCATCACTGCGGGCACTCTTCTAATTACAGAGAAAGCAGCTGCTTTGAACCCATTTAACAGCGGATGGAGCGGGCAGGCACAATGACCAAATAAATATGAATTTTATTTTATTTAATTTCAAATATTTACTAAGCTAGCAAAGGAACATTTTGGCCGACTGTACATATACCGACACACATACATACAGTGACCCACTCCCTCCCCACCGCTCACGTTGTCGTCTCCTGCATCGTTTTGTGCTTCTCCGGCTGCTTTCCAGCCGGCAGCCGCGTGCCTCGGCTGCGACGTCGCTCCAGCCAACGCCGTACAAACGGAGTCAGCAGACGGCTGTCTATCGCATCCAGATCGGATTCGCGCAGCAGCAGGCTCGTCACCAGTCCAACCACAATGGCCAACAGGGCACCGAAGAGGGTGAAGTACAGATAAGAGATGCGATACAGCTGAAAGGGAGCCTCAGACGCCGGGCTGCAATATCAGAAAAATGAACAAAAATACAGTTTCAATTTAAAAATAGTTGCTAACCCATGATCGGGAAACTGAAAATATCTAGGGGTATCAGGTGATTGAACTAATTCATCTATTGAAATGCAACTCACCTGATGGCATCATCCAGCGGCAGGCTGCTAAATGCTCGTCGCTCTCCGTCGAACGTGTAGTTGCATCCGAGCGTGGAGTAGGGCTTACGCTGGTAGACGATGTCGCCGGTGACCAGATCGTGTTGTGCACTGAAGCACATCCAAACCATGACGATGAGGGAGGTGACGCCGCCGAGAAGGGCGCCGTTCGAGTTCACCCAGGGCAGCATAACGCCCGCTGTGAAAATGCCCAGCAGTGGTCCATTGGCCACCGAAGTTAGCGTAATGGTCAGCTGTAAAACGGCGCCCAGCTTCTCCACGATGAAGACCAGAGCAACAAAGATAATGCCAAAGATGAGGACAACACTGCGCATTACAAAAGCGGTCTGCGTCTCAGTAAGTGGCTCGTGGTGAAACGTCTTCACAAAGTCCTCCAGCACAACGGCCGAGAGTGAATTGAGACCGGTGGAGAGCGAGGAGAGGGCCGCACTGAAAACCCCGGCAACAAAGATGCCCGGCATACCGGGAAATGAGCCAAATGTGTCCATGACGAGCAGCGGCAGCAGCTGATCATTGCGCTGCGCCAGCTTCGTCTCCAGTGGATCACAATCCGCATACGTGGCATAGATGAGCAGACCCGTATACCCGCAGATGGCCAAAAATGCAAGCACTCCAGCTATAAATGACCAGAGGGCGATGCGTGCATGTTTGAGCGTTGGCAACGACAAATACCGCTGGATCATATTCTGGCTGATGGCATTCGATTTGAGCCAGTGCGCCACGCCTCCCAGCACCAGCGAATAGAATGTGTAGCGCTCCTTAAGATCCAGATCGAAGTTGGGCGACTCAATGCGTGCCGTTTGCTGGGCCCGCTGCCAAACAACGCTTGGTCCCCCAATATCGATTGTGCCCTTGATCAGCACCAGGGCCATCGCACCAAACATGATCAGTGTCTGGATGACATCCGTCCACACGACTGCCTTGAGGCCACCAATGCACGTATAGAAGATGCACACAACGCAGACACACGGCGTCACAATGTGAATGTTTGCCCCAGTTGCCTGATTAAAGGCGATGGCCGGCATATAGATCACAATTGGCAGCCATAATACCTATCAGAGAGAATCAAAAATAGCAAGAGACATTTGCAAGTTGAAATCAAGTGAATAAGCTGGCATCGTATGAACATTTCATCACTTAAGGATTTCTGATTTTTACAGTCGCTCGACTCAATCAACTGCTTCCGAATTATTATTGTCTAATAATCTTCTCGTGTTCAATTTTAGGTTTTTTTTATACAAAATTTGTGTTTTTCCTATGAAAACCAAAATGCTGTAGATTTTATGGATAATATTCCGTGTCCTTATCAGCTTTGCTTATGATAGTTCAAATAGTTCAAAGATAATCACTTACCGATGCTATTATGAACATAACTGATCCAAATAGGCGCATACTGCGATTGTAGCGCTGTTCCAGATACTATATCCAAATACAAATTTAGTTTGTTTCGCAGCATTCTGAGTTAATCTACACATACCTTGTAGGTGGATATCAGGTTCAGTTCATGGAATACTGGCAGAAAGATGTAGTACATGCAAAACCCCATTAGCACCAGGGAGCCCATGATGTACATGTACTGACAGCCGTACAGGTAAACCTCGGTTGGTGTGCCTAGCAGTGTGATGCCCGAAATGAAGCTGATTGGAGTAGAAGATGAAGAACCAGAAACATACAAATTATAATACACAAACTGCATTAGCTCAGTTTCAACTGTATACACTGAAAGGCCCACAGATGTCAGAGGCAATTGACTTAGATACTTGACCTTCATGCGGAACTGTTCCTGAATTACTTTCGAGATCAAAGCGCGTTTTAAGCAATTCAATTAGCAGACAGCCGCCAGTATCGTCGGAGGCGTTGATTATGCCCCTGTCGTAATCGCAATTTGAATTTCCCATATACGGGTTACTTATTTCCGGCGTTGGAATCTAGTCTGTCGCCACTCTTACGAATCATTTAGAAATTATGCAACATTTTGATTTGATGTGTAGATAAGCATCGTTTACACTATAAATATTCACAGCTGACTCCACTTATTCCAGACAACGAATATATATACATATATAACATAATATTAACTGATAAAACCAATGATTAATCCATTTACTCAGGCAGAACACATAGTTTATAAAGTCTACAAGTCAGTTAAACTGTGATCAAACTAAAAACATGACTCTTTCAGGTAGAAACAAAGGTAAACTTGCATATTGTATTAAGAGAAAAGTTAACAATGTTGTTACAAATAAATTGCATTCATTTAAAACCACAGTGGATGACGATTGTTATTTGTCATTAAAGTCTTACTCGTAATCACTATCTTCTCAATTGCATAAACAGTCTTATTTGAGAACACTGTCATGAAAGTTTGTTTATTTAAGAAAAGAAAAATGAACTTCGTCATACGATTGTGATTAACGATATGCACAGGAAACAAGGTGTTAAAAGAATTTACAATGATATCATGCTCTCTCAAAAAAATGGAAGCTAATTTTTGGTCTTTTTCAAAATTATAACTTTGCTTTACTCACCTCGCAATGAGTGACATACTTATTGGAAATATTTTCATTTTTCTGCCGCCGACTAAATAAGAGGCGGCACTTTTGGCCGCCTCCTCGCTTCCGCTGGCCTTGAGCTGTCTGGACTCCCGGCGCATCTGCAGGCAAAAGTAGATGCCGATAAAGGCGCAAATGGCCAGCATGAGGCTAAAGACCAGATAGTCCGGCCAGCCGAAGCTTTGCAGGTTGGCACGCAGCTCATTCACATGCATGGCGCACACAGTGAAAGGACACAGCAGCACACCGATAACAAAAACAACAAAAAAAAAACGAATCGGATTATCGATTAGCCGATCAATCGATTATTCACGCAGTCACGAGTGGCACTGTCCGCTGTCCGCTACAGCCACCAAAAGCTTCTGTTCAGCTGCACGCATCAGACGTAACTGATAGACACACATGCCACATCCAATGGATGCACAGTTGGATCGTTGGATGGTGCCTACCTAGTTTTCTTCTGCTCGGTCACTACAGCTGAGCAAAAGACCGAGTGGCAGTCGCTTACACTTGAATACCCTTGCCAAGGGTATTAGAATTATGTTATCAAGTATTTTACCATAAGCAACAACATTTTTAACGAAACCTATAATTATTATCATTATGAATATTATTATTTTTATTATCATTATCATCTGCTTCCCATTTGAAAAATCGATTGACATATATATAAATTATTATTATATATATTATATATTATATAGGTCTGCTAGCGTATGCGATATTCGATGTGCCTAAGATAGATGATGTTTCTTGTTAATTTTAATTTAAATTTGTTTTAACAATCTCGGACTTCGCATGTGAGCTGTGAGCTCGTTCCTCGTTTTGTTTCATTTATTATTATCAATGATATTATGTATGCCATTTTTGTTGTTGTTGTATACCCTGTACATAGTAAACGTGTAAAAAGGGTATATGTAGTGGATGGTGATTCTCTGAACCTCGATGATTTTATCCTCACATACATTCCAACAGAGGGAAAGTTCAGTTTTTGAAATGTTTTAAATTTTAAGTTATGTATTCAATTTTCCTTGCGTCTCTCCCTTTCCCAAAAATATCGAAATCAACTAATACACGATATATTTGTATTTTGTTGTACATTCGATTTGCTTTCAGGATATCCTCAAGTCCAGCAATTAGTTCAATTACTTCTTATGACAGATTTCTCATATTTTTCGTTTTAGGTTGACAGTCAGAGGCACCAACAACCGACACCTTCAAGTTCGTCTGCTTACATCGTATTATTTACCTGCATATCGTCGTTTGAACCTACTTGATGAACACCCCGATTTGACACTAGATCATCATCAGTGTAGACGAGACTTTGTCTTTGGAAAGCCCCCCCTGGGGTTATTTAGGGTGCCATTTGTGCATATGTGTAGAAATCGGTGGCGTGAATTAAGTTGATTAGATTTAGCGCGCAAATTGAGCTCAGTAACTGGCTCGAGTTTTGCCTATGTAGGCCGACGTGGAGGAGAGATAGCTATATGCTGACCGCGACAGAGAGAGAAGGAGGCAAATAGATACGTGAGGCATAGATCGTGCCACATTTAGAATGGGTAATTTGCCAGTGCATTTATTTATTTATTTTTTTATTTTAGCTATCAGGATTAAAGTCTTTCTCTTTTAAATAGTGTACACACTTTTTTAAGATTAACTACGACACAGGAAAATTAATAAGCTCAGTATATTTGTTAATATTAGAATTAGCTTGACTGCTCCTGACATAATACATTTCATTTTAAATAATAATGGAGAGCATTGTAGACAATTAATACAAAGTAAATTGGGAGTTTTAATCAATATGCCTGGTGATCAATATGCCATTGAAAACGGGCAAAAAGGGTATAACGGTTTTATGTAAATGTTTATAACTGGTAGAAGGATGCATCTTCAATCTTATAAAGTATTTGTATTCTTGATCAGTATCAACAGTCGAGTCGATATGATCTTGTCTGTTCGTCCGTCCATCTGTCTTCTATTAAAACCCGGATCAATATCCGATCAAATTTGTCTCAACGCACCTTCGGTCTATACTGAAAGTTAAACAACAATCGGACAATATGCACAGTAACTGAATTTTTGATTGTGAAAAGTTATATAAAGTATTTCATCCACCATGCACACATATATAATTATATCCCATTATAGAATGTAATTTTATTAAAAACTCTTAGTTCTATAGAGTTAAACTGCTACTTTTGAGAGAGAAAGAGAGAGACGTTTGTACAATAAACAAATAATAATTCAAGTAATTATTGTTGCCAAAGCTTAAATGTATTTCAATCAAAAAAAAAAGATCCAAAAATGTTTTTGAATCAAATTTGGGCGCTGCGGTGAAGCCAAACTTTGTGTAGCAGAACCGAGAACTGAGTTCAGTTAACTTCTCTCATTCTCATACATAAAACTCTCTGAGATTAAATAAAGCTTCTTCGGCATTGCTGCCCAACATATCCGTATCAAAATCATCGACGATGCCATCCCCTGACAAAAAAACACAAAATAAAATTTGAAAATCTTGTAAATGAACGAAATCAGAAGTGGACTTACCTGTGTCCATCCCACCACCACCAACACCACTCATGGCCAGCACAGACGTGGCTAGTTCCTTGATCGTGCGTTCCAGCTCACCAAACTCACTCAAATTATCAACTGAGGGAGCTGACCAGGCGCAGGCGCACAGGCACAAAAACAGCCCAAACACAAAACAGATGCCAGTTGAAGCCATGGTTTGATAGATAGATGTGGCCAAAAATCGGTGACAGGTCTTTTATAGTTTGAAGTCCGTTAGCAACGGCTAATTGCCAATTGCATGTGTTCCGACTAATTACAGTCACTAAATACTGGATCAACGCTTCAATAAGCAGCAAATGAGCTTTGACTGAATCAGAAATATTAAATTGATATGCCGGTAAATCCAAAATATCAACCATTTGTGCCCAAGAAATAAAGCAACATGTGAAATTATCTCGAATTATGGAACACCAATAACTGCGCTATTACAAATAAATGTAGTTTTGAAAATCATGGGTTAAGCTTACTGCCTAATTGTTGTGAGCTATGCAATTTATAGTACATTAACTCATTAAGTTACAATTTTAATAACTCCGAGTTATACATGGTAAGCACATTTCAGGGAACTTTTGACATGGATACTGGCTTTTTATTTGGCGATCACTCTCTTGCAAAACTTACACATCTATTCCAAAATGATTATTTTCTATATTTTTCGTCATACCAAAAATAGGATTGGGGTTTAGATTCTCTGTAAGTCGTTTGATTGGGATACTTGTGAAGTTGCCGGTTGGGTTCGGCAGTACTGTCTGTAATTCTGTAAACATAGCACTAAAATTGCATTAGGTTTTTTTAAGTTATATTTTTATATTTTTTTCTTGCTGCAATAGCAGCGCTTGTGAAAAGCGTCTGCACTTTGCTGTCAATCGAGGCGTAAAATGAGCAGCAAGTGCCACTACATTAGCATCTGGCAGGATGGGAGAAAGGAAGAGAAAGAGACTGCACACACACACACACACACACACACACACACACACACACACACACACATGCATAGAAAGACTTGTATCGGAATCAAAAATTGTACACGATACACGCTGAACATGAACTCTGCAAATTCTGTATTCATTTCCAAATTATACAAATACAAAGGCATCCAACTGGCTTGTGTCTAAATACTCGCAAAAATATAATAAATATTTGAGAATGTGATTTTAGTTGCGTTCAATTCTTCAATTCCATTTTCTACTGAAAAAAATGATCAATGTACATTTTTTTAAGTTTATTAGTTTATTGTATTTCTTTCAACAAACTAAGCTAATATCTTTTGATGTCGTAAAATTATTTTTCCCCATATGTTTGAGAGGCAGTAAAACGCGAGCAACGGCAAATTAATTAATTTCAGTGCAGGGATTTTCAAGAAGAAAAACCCTTTTTACACATTTAACACAGTGCTGTGTATTTGTATTTGTGTATGTGCGTCTGTGCACTTGAAATGCTTCTGCAGGTGTTGTAATATTATTTGGAATTATGTTGGCATTTTTTTAGCGCTGCTCCGCCTCGCTTACTGAAATACCATGAATATTATTTGCTTTTTAATTTTGTTTCAAGTTGCATATGTCTCGCTCGGTCCACACACACTCGAATACACACAAACAGACACATGCACGCGTATACACTCGCACACTCGCACTTGCTTTGGGTCGTTGTTTATAGCTAACTTTACAGTTGAGAAAGCATTTCTAAAGTGGTTTTAATTAGTTGCCCTAACGGTTTTGGTCGGCCTGCTACGGTTCACGAATCGCCACTGTAACTTTAAAAAGATCCCAGACCAGTTTGTAGAACCAAGTTGACTGTTTAGAAAAACCGACTAAAAATCATTTTGATTTACTTGAAAGAGACTTTAATTTATTATCTGACATGTCATTGGAATAAGATATTTAATTACATTTTGATATATGTATATATAGATAGATATAGATATGGTGGATCAAAAGGTTCAAAGGTCCGTCGTCATCTGGAGATAATTTTCATAATCATCGCATTATTCAAGCTGCTGCTGGGTCTGCGGCAGGTGCAACGCCTACAATGCCTTTGCATGCGTTTAGAATTGGTCCAAAAATACTCTGTAAATCAAAAAACATATTATCACATAAATATCAAATGTATATATATATGATCAGAGATCATTTAATATCATACCTCCGCTACTTGTTCACACGGAAGGGGCAAAAAGGTAAAAGATTTGCAATTATTTATAAAATTCGTGCGGATTTGCTCTAAGGTACAGTCCTGAAAACAAAAAACTCAAGCTATATTCTCAGTTTCAAAACCAATTTGCTCTCTTACTTGGGCCATTACTGCTTGCAGACTGCAGACTACAACCAAAACGCATGCAAAGATAGTCAAAGATCCGGCTTGGAAATGCATTTTGGTGATATTGTTGCTTAAGGTGTTAGTTCCTAACTGGATTTACAAGTCAATATCAGTCACTTAAATACTCAATGCGATCATCGGTAAATGTCGCAATCGAAGCATTATCTTAAGTCGTGTCGAAACTCAATTAAGAATCGCACGTTTTGCGATAAAGACCAATTATGGGGAACTCGATGCATCGCTTGTCGTGCGAGCCAGTCATGAAACAGGGCCAACAGTTCGTATGATTGACTTAAGTTAACACTAATTAACTGAGCTGTTATCATCCATATACAGAATATTTCCATTTCTAATGATGTCCTGAATATTTATTTGAAATATATTCTAATAAAAAGATAAATTATTCAACAATGAAAATGAAATTTACAAATAATTTGACGTTGACGCCAATGCAATTTGAAACGTACAATTTAAGGTTAAAAACGACCAGACTAATACTGATCTTTTGTTAGTTAATATTATTATTGTTAAGTTTCAAGATTTTAAAATATGCAAGCTTATTAAGAAGTTTAAAAATGCATATAAAAGTTTTCTAAAGAAAGGGTTCCATTTATTCTGTTTAAAAATGTATGCTTTTATTAAGAAATATAAATTATAGAAAAAACCTTTCTCTTTTAAGAACTTTTGCAGAGCGATTTTCGCTTTGGGACAATGTTCTAAATTTCAGGTCGATTTTTTCAGAATTCTCTATTTGTACCAGACTCAAAGTGTTAGTAATGGTGTCAGATTGCTAAAGAAGTAAGGAAACAACTGTGATGTCTGCTTTCCACGGCTAAAACTATTCTATTCATGTGAGCATGCGTTTTGTGTGTCATTGGTTAGTTGCCATATGCAAATTTGCGAGCACTCATTTCATTTTGGTTGGCATTCATTGCCAGTTGACTTTTAAGGCGGTGGACAACAATCTCAGGCCCTTTTACAATAATATTTATCAAGTGCGGAACACACCCAGCTAGAGCCAGGGGCCCAGTGCTGGCCTCATATATTAGCGGCTTAGCTGGATGGACAGAACTGGACTGAACTTGACGCACCACCACCATCATCATCATCATCATCATCATCATCATCATTATCATTATGATGAGGCGAGCCTATGCGTGGCCTCTAATTACGACGCATTGTCATAACAGAATTGAGCGCATTTGACACGCAATTGGAGCTCATAGTTGACGGTCCTCACGATGACATGTGAGAAATGCCAACAGAGTGTTGGGCGTTGATGCGAGTAGGGTGGAGGGTGTTATGGTTAGGCAGTTGGGTGCAAGCCACATAAACTTGTACTCGAACTGAATATGGTAATGAAAATGGAAATGGAAATAGAACTAGAAATGCTTAGTGACAGTCACAATATGACTGTCAAAGGGCGGACTGTTGCATCAGTCGTGTCTACCCTTCCTCTCCCCCTCTTAAGTAGATAAGAATTAATTGTTCAATGGCACGCATTGCACTTAATATTTGAATACTCGCATGCTCCTTCGTATATTTATACATATACATATATTCTGTGGCAAGCAGCGAGCCGAAGCGTTACACATTTTTTTTGACTTATGCCCCGTCATTTGACCCACGCACCTTTCGGGCGCAGGTTAATCGGATAAAATTCATAATTATCGTTATTACTGTCATTTCTTCTAATGACCCGCAGCACACAAATTGCGTGTACTTTTCTATTTAGATGACCTATCAAACGCACTTTGACTCCATTGTAACCATTGCGTTCTAGTCGTTGATTTTTCTTCTTTTTTTACGGCGCTCTTTTGTTTGTTTTTAGCCAAACCCTTACTGAGGGTATGCCAAATTTCGTATGAACTTTGTAACTTACTAGAAAGATTTGGAAGCATAACAAGATTAACTAGTTTCGAATCGGATCTGATTCGACTCTTTTATGATCTCACTTGTTTTATTCTTAATTTTAATATATATATATGCAAATGACATGAGCACGATCGGTTAAAGTTGAGTTTGCATATAAGTCAAACATGTGTCATTGAGTACAGAGAAGCTCCAAGTCGAACACTCCCAGCCAGGGCGCACTTACTTGTCTTTTTTTCCATTACTTGCCCATATTTCCTTAGCTCTTACACACACATTGCCGCCCCCGCCTATCATAGAGCGCACGCGTAAATTATGTAATTAAAATTCCGCACCTTAATTCAGGCAATTTATTACATGAGCTTTTGACTAATTGGATAACGATCTTTAACTATGTTTACTAAATACATGAGAGATACATCACAGGTAAACCGGGCCTGGACCCTACTCTATGTATGAGTTCATAGTGGCTACGATTGCATTTTTTGATAAGCCACAAATTAATTGAATTTCAAGGTGTGTGGCATTCATGCGGCTCATTTGCGTGCCAAGTTGGAGGTGGTGGAATATTCAATGAGTTTTTAAGCAAACAGCAAATCATTAAAACGAAACTTACTATTTGTATAATTTTTGAGATAACAACATAAAAGATATATATCCGCCAACATAAAAATCTAACATTTAATTATTTGTGGCCAACAATTATTTATCGAAATTTAAGTTTGTTAAAAAGATTCTTGGAACAAATCACATTGAAATCCAGTCTTTGATTTGATAAATTTAATTAGTTTGTAGTCAACATTAATGAGCAAGCGAATTTTAGTATTATTCCGAATTTCTTCCCGCTCCCGTCCCTCTCGGATGTTTCATCATCCATCATTATGAAGCGGCAAATATATTGCAGCCCTGTGCGTTCTGGTTATTAATTTCCATTTGCATTCATGAAAATTAAAAGGAAAATCGAAAATAAATATGAAATCATTCAAAGAACTTAACCAGTCAGAACAATTGGTCGCAACAATTGGATGTGCGACATGCGCTACAGTCAGCTAAGGTAATTGGTTGTTTTTATTTTATTTTTTTATTTATTTTTTTTATTGTTTTTGCAAAATAATTGCAAACAAAAAAAAACAATAACAGCAAACAAAAAAGCAATTTTCATCATTAAAACAAGCAATGTGTGAGTCAACAGTGGGTGGTGGAGGGCGTGGGGGGCCAATGCCTATTAAAACTGCCCGCATTGGCAAAAGCTCCGCTCGACTAAAGTTGGGGTTAGGGGTTAGGGGCTGGTGCTGCAAGAGAGACGCAAATGACGTGCTGCGCTAAAAATAGACCAAATGCTAGGGTCAGCTCAAGCTTTTTGGTATGCGGCGCACGTGTAGCCAAACAGCAGGTGTTAGCGGAGGAACAGCAGTGACGGGTGTAGAGTATAACAATTGGGGGCCGTCAATCGGACGAACGACGAGTTGCGGCCAGTCGTATTTCGTTGGTCACCGTCCAATGTTGTGAACTAATTTGTTAGCGGGTTTTATTTATTGTTGTTTCTTGCGGTTTTTTTTTTTTTATATTGATATTTGACAGATTGTTGTGCTTATGGCCTCCCAATGCAGATGGCTGCGACGTCGGCTGTTAGCGTTCCTCCTCCTGCCACTGCTGCTGATGGTACTCTCTACTCTTCACCAGGTAAGAAATCTAACTGATCCAAGGCAAACAAAACTAATTGACTCAATTTGGTTTTCGTCTAGTCGCATGCGCTGGAATTCATGGATGAGTCAGCGCCTGGCCAGGACGTGGAGGATGATGGAGATTCGGCCGAACTACCGCCGATTCTACACACATACTCGAAGGATACGATTAGCAACTTCAATCCGCGTAAAACAGATGCCCAATTTCGCGCACAGTGGGAACGGGTGCCACTTCAAAAACAGGAGGTGATCAAGCGCCGATAGTTTTTATCTGCATAGAGGGCAAACCTACTTTTTTACGATACCCATACATACTAATTTAATCACAAGGTCACACTAACCTTAATTCTAGAGATTGATTTTCATATTATTGAGCTTGCACAAACTAAGCGATACTCTATGAATATAATCAGCCATTAAGTTATATACTCGAACCGAACCTCGAAACGTGTAATAGAAATTATTGAATCAATGAATCAAAAATATGTATGTTGATACTTACTAGTAATCAGTAATAATGCAAAATTAATATAGACACATAAATATATATAGAACTAAAATTAACTATGATAGCTACGTTTATTTAAATGACATATTCCGATTTTATTCTCACATATATATTCATTTGATTTTATGAATCAGAATAAAGATAAAAGGAAAATTGCTCCAACATTTTTCTTGTTTACTGCATGCAACTAATTTGTTCTATTATTACAAAATGTGTAGCTTTGGCAGAAATAAATCGCTATCGATACCAGGTAAATGAAACACTGTTGATCACCCTCGATAAATCGATATTTAATTTGAACAATTACAAGCAAAAAAATTGTTTTCTCAAAAATGTATTTTTAAGTTTTTATTCAGAAATAATATAAATAAAATTTTCATTTGAGTTTTTATGAAACATAGGCGTAAAACGTGAATTTCTTGAGATGTTTTCTATTCTAATATGTTGATGCAGATTAATATATTTGTACATAGGCCATGCCACGCTTTGCTGGGTATATAAACTGGGCACACTTCATAAAAAAATAGCCGACAAGTGGAGCACAGATTGGTGAGCTATTGACAAAAAAAAAAATAGGTTCCATTGTGACTTGGGTGACGTAGCCACACCAACAGCAAGACGTTTGGGTTACTTAGTCCAACCCTTCGAATTGACCCATGCCCAAGTAGTTCTTAGAAAAGTAAAAAAAAACCGCAGCACCACTGTGTAAAACTTTTTTATTTGCATTTTGTTTTAAGAAGCAGGAATACAGCACGAAAAAGAGGGAAAAACTGAAACCAATGGTGTTTATTTCCCTTTGTTTCTTTTTTATACTCTGGCACCAAAGATTAATGGGTATTTTGGGTTTGTGCACCTAAATCTTGGCTTAGATACTCGCACTTATGTGGTTCTTAGTTGCTGATAAATATTGCCATAGATAACACCTCGATACACCTCTTTGTATAATACCTTCGATGAAACCTAAGTATGTCATTATACTTTAGACAGATTTATCTCATCAATCGCCAAATTTACAGGAATAATTGATATGTGATAACTTTCACGAAATAGCTCACTTCTTCAATCGAGCTAGAGAGCTAGATTCATCAAATTGACTACAACAAGCCTTTTGGTAATCCTACATTCCACCCTATATTTCGACCAATTGCCATTTGATATTTGAGTGATATTAGAGCATTACGAAGTCGGTAAAGCTCGGGTGCAACGTTCACACTTGTTTTTGTATTGTTTCTTCTTTGTTTTGTAAAAAAAAAATGCACAAGTTTTATGCTTCTATAAAAGTTTTTGTGGCGAAAACTTTGCACTTGTCTTGTAGCTGCCGAAAGGGTTTTACAATGATGCGCTTTAAGCAGTACCGCATCCCACATGCCCTCCCATCCTCTCTCTCTCTTTCCCTGTCTATTTCTCTGGCTCACGCTCCCCCCATCCACCCCATCTTTCAGGCCCTTCTTCACCGAAGGCATTGCTAAAGTGGGCGCTTTAGCGCACTTAATATTTTGAGGCAATATGGAAAAGTAGCGGCTAGTTATTGGTCTATTTTGTGGGTTAGACAAAGTTTTCAAGTTATGGACGCGGACTTGCACCTTAACCTTAAGCGGCTCCCTCACGAATATGACACACAGAGCAACAAAGCGAGAGAAAGGGAAATGGAAAGAGACAGAGCGAGGGAGAGTCACTTACTTAAACCCAGAGACGATGTCGGCCATTATGCGATCCCGAATAGCTGCCATGCATTATCATTATCATTAAAATAAATTATTTGAGAGAGTCCAGCTTGGCAAAGCGATGAAGAACTAAACGCATTTTGCACGTTTTCTCTGCGAAATTTTTTTACACGTTGTTTACAACTTTTTTCGGCGTTTTCAGCTAAGTACACAAAAGCTTTTGCTGGACAGCACTAGTTGGGAGGGGGTTGCGAGTGGGGGATGGAGTGTCTGTGGGTGGGTGCTCTCGACTGTCGACTCTCGGAGATAAAAAGTCAAGTTTTTGGTGGGGAACAGTACTATGCGAGTTAGACGCAGCATTTAGTTAGGGGCGCAAAAAGGTTTGCAAGAAATAACTTTGCATACTTTTAGGCAGCGCATGTTAAATACTAAATGCAAGTCCACAGCAACGAAAGACAATGTGCTGGAGGGGGGGTATGACTGTGAGGGATTGGGAGTGTGGTGTATGTACGGGTGTTGGTGTGGGTGTGGGTGTGGGTGTAGTATGTGCACGGTCGACTTGCATGCGGAGCACCACGTAATTTCTCAAACTGCCGTAGCCTGACCACGTAAAGCATAAAATATTTGCCAGTGACTCTAGCGCCAACCAATGCTGATGTCCAGTCGAGAAACAGAGAAATGCTCCAGGGATGGAAGAGCAGATGGGCATGGAGTTGCGGAGCCTAAGAAAAGTATGTCTAAGAAGTTGCCAAACAAGTTGCAGCCGCAGCCTGTGCGACGCAGCTCATTTGAATACATGGCAACAACTTTAACCACGCATTAGTTACACAGCAACATAAAAGCCCAACACGGGGTCTCGGTGTGTGATGCGGGGTGTGCGGTGTGTGCATGGACCAACTCAAGACCAAGTCCGAGTCAAGTCAAGTCAAGTCCTCTCATGTCGCTGGCTGCGGAATGACTTGCCACATCCTTCGTGCTGGCCGGCACATGCAATTTGTAAACCAAAGCGCATAATTTACAATGAACATTTCGGTCGGTCTAACAGTGCTTAAAGCTGACCACGCCACAGACTTGGACTTCGAGTTGGACTTCATATTAGACGTCATCGTGCACTCACCTCCCAGACTGCGACTGGGACCCACGACATGGATATGGTGTCCGACTACAACAGTCATAAATTGATCAATAACGTAGTTTGAAATTTAAAGTTAGGTTCACGCACCCAGATCAACCAATCAAATATTGTTTAGTCAATTTACTCGAATGCAAGACTACCTACCAAAGCACAATTTTCGAATGATTAGGCTTTGGCATATCAAAATTGTTTTTCTCTAAAAATTGATTTTATTATTAATCCAAATAATCCAACTTACGTCATTAATAATATAATACAAATATTAATTATTCATGTTCATGTGTGCACTTCAGTTGGGGTATAATCATGTAAAAGTACTGAAAAATGTGTAAGTAAAAAGAATATATTACAAAATGTTGATAAATATCACTGTCAAATGTTAGAGAAATCAAAGACTCTGATATTTTGTCGAATTATTGTAATTTTTCAGTTTAATTAATAAATTATTTTACGATTTATGTAAAACATATTCGAAATTGATTGGTGCAGGAATTGATGATGCAATGTTTTCTGATTGAGAACAATACGTTGTGCGTCTTTTTACCAGCTATCAATCAGTCGCATGACAACTTGTTGTATTTATATAGACAATTAGTGATAGCGTTTATCAGTAGCCCTCTCGACCAAATCAATTTTGGTACTTTCCCGCAGCGATTTTATTAGGGCCGCAGTGCTTGGAGTCTATGGTGTGTGACTTAAGTATCTCAAGGAGTGACAATATGGGGATGCATTAAGCCAGCACTTACAACTACGGCCACTAGGTGGTGCAGTCGCACGGGTGGCTCGTGGTTTTGATAGAGGAACATGGACAGAGAGAGAGACAGAGAGAGAGAGAGAGGAAGAGAAAGAGAAAGAGAGAGACGCAGAGGATTTCGGAGGTAAGCGCAAATAACTTGTAGCAAATTAAGTTTGTTAGTAATTAGAATACCACTAAGGACACCTGAGCGTCCTTCTGTCTACCCGGGCAAATTTATATGACAGTCGAGTACTGTGACCAGCAGCACCATACAACAACACACAACACAACAATTAAACCCTAAAGCTCGTCGCCTGGTGCTGCTCTTGCTGCTCTTCTCCAGTTCTCCACTGTGTGCGCAGTTTCATGTTGTCCTTTTTTTCTGTTCTGTTTTTTTTTTTTTTTTTGTTTCAGGTATCTTCACAACCTGCAAAGTAACAAAAGTTTCAAGTCGCCTTGTCGAAAATTCCTCAAGCTGAAAGTTGGCAACTTTGATGTCCACGCTTCCAGCACACGACTCCCAACTCCCAGACTTCAATATTCACCCGCTGCCTGCTGGTTGCACTCCACAAAGTATGCAACGACGTTGTTGGCATGCGTCAGTGGGAAGAACAGTTGGATGAGTGTCTACCGCTAAGTGAATGCCTAGATGCCTAGATGCCTAGGCAGTGACCAGTTGCCAGTTTCGACTACCCTTCTTCTTGGCCACTTGAGCAATCTGGCCAAGTGGCAAAAGTTTCTTGCCTAAGCAGTTGACCCCAACACACACACACAGCCCGAGCTTAAAAGGTAAGCACTCTACACACATAGTAGAGTCACCGTGCTAGATTCCGTCCGTCCGTTTCATGTTCCACTCCCCGAGTCCAGTTCCTAGTCGGTCGTTTAGTGTATGGCAGGTAGCCCTAAGGTCTATTTGTTTTCTAGGTATTTGAATTCATGAGCAAAGCAGCTATCGAAGATTGCTCAAATGGATTGGACCAAACTCAATTTACCAGGAAAAACTAAAACCGGTGGATTTTTGGCAATAATCGGAAACAAGATACAACATATTATTAGTTAGAGGCAAGAGAACGTTCGATATCGATTTAAGGATATTCTTGAGTAATCTGCACTACTTATATGTCCAAGGATAGACTGAATCTACGTTCTTTTCATTGCTTTAGTCGAGCAATAACTAAAATTCCAGAAACTCAAAATTCAATAACTTTAAGTTGAGTCTTAAAGTTTTGCGGGCAACAAGACTATTGCCTGTAAACTTGGCCATTAAGTTGAAAACACTTTCACTGTATTAACACCAAATTAATTTTGTCTTAACATTCAGACAAATACACCGACTTAGGCATCCATACATATGTGTGTTTGCTTGTGTGTGTGACGATTGAATTTTAAACAAGAAGAAGGACAAATGCCGGTAATCAAGTGAACTCATGTTAAAAGAGCAGCAAAATGAAGTCCCTGGCAGGGCGCAAGGCATTGTAGCAATAATCAATATGCAGTAGTCAATAAAGGCGAGCCAGGACTAGTCCTTGCCAAGGAGCAACAATTACAGGCCCACAGATGTGGAATAATTTTGGGGAGGGGGGCTGCTCCATAGTTTTGCAGTGCGTCGGTTAAATGATGTGTAATCGTCTTATGTGCACTTGAATGCCTTTTGGCTTCTAATATGGGCAGCAAGGCGACAGACAACACTGGCGACAAGGACCTGCAAACCATAGGCAAGGACGAACGGCGGGGACAAACGCAAGAGGGCAAGTAGCTCGCACGGACAAAGGGTATCAGGCCAAGCCGAAGCGGCCCAAGTAACCAATTCGCACACAAAAGAAAACTTTGCCATAGGCTGACCTCAAAATGCACAACGAACAAACGAACGAACGAACGCTGAATGCTAAGGACCTGAGGACCCAAAGACCTGGCAAACTTTAATTTACAATCAATTCAGGCGTGAATAATAAACCACAAGAAACCAAACAGAGTCCCGGCAAATGGCCAAAGACAACGCACAAGTGAAAGTGTTGCCAACTAGCTGCACTTTCAGCTCTCACTGTGTGTGTGTGTGTGTGTGTGTGTTTGTGTGTGTTTGTGTGCGTGTAAATGTGTATGTTTTAAAATTTAGTTACAACACAACACCAAAAGTTTAGCAAGTTTTGCAAACAAACAAAGCTCAGTAGTAGGCAGTTGTAGCCAGAATACCTAAGCCAAAACCCCAAACCCAAACACAAACCCCGACCCTAACCCCATCTGGAACCCAAAGAACCAAAAACGACCGCAACACTTCCGCCACCGCTCAACATTTCAACTCTAACGTCAAGTGTCTTGTCCGGTTTGGTTCGGTCCGCAGCAGTCCCTGGCGACGTCTGCGTCTCTGGGCCGGGCTATCAATATTGTTTTCCTATTAAATTGATCATTGGTCAGCAACAATTGTGGGCAAAGCGCAGACAAGTGGACCTTGTGTAGACCATCTCGCACCCAACCACACACACGCCTCCTTTTGTTGTCGCCTGCTGCCCAACTCGGCCTTTGTCTGGTGCGTTGAGTGGCAGCCCCAGGGAGCAGCTGGCAACTGACTATTGCTGGCCAACTGTCCAACTGTCCGTTTCTGTGCATTAATTGTACGATTCTAATGAAATTAATTGAAATGCTCGACTGAATGCTCTGAATGCTCTCGTTATGAATGTCTTTCTAGGAATGTCGACGTGAATGCGGCAAATGCACAAAAAGTATGCATTTGCTGCATTTTGTGCTCGGCGAGAAGGGTGCACACGTTCCTTGCTCAGATGGTGCTGCAATTATTTGTGGCATTTGCCATAACAACTGTCAATCCATTTTGGAACCTTAGACGGTCCTCCAAAGAAAGCTTGAGAGAAGCGGAATGTTAACTTCCTTATTTGTTAATTAGATATACAATTGTAATCCATAATAAATGTGCTGCATGAAAAACTGTTTTATCATCCATAATAATATATAAATTTTCACTATAATACTACAATGAATACACAATGGTCGAATTCACAAGCACATTAGATCAACACTTAGCAGCCATAACAGAGTCGAGATGTTTTAAAATAGATAGAAAACAAAATCAATTTAATTTCTGTTAATTCTCTTGCTCCTAATTTTTCTGCCATCTATTTGTGTACAACTCTCTTTGCAGTTCTCTTTCTTTCTCTTGTCTGTTTTTATTTCAAAATCATATTTTATGATTCTACCATATTTCGTATATATCTTCCGGTTCGCTCTGCATTTGAGATGAATTCATTTTGAAGATCAATTAAAAATCGTTTATAATCTAAAATGCGCTGTAGGCTCTTAGAGCACCCCATGAACCGAATATACGTAGTAGGAGCTGCTCGCGGTGTGCTTGGATCCGCTCCCACCTCCCCCTCCCAACCCGAAGCATTCTTATAGCCCCCAAGTGGCAGCCAAATTCAACTCAATTATGCACAATTACAGACACAAACAGACGAAGTGGCCATGTGAGGTGAGGCATGTGTATGCGGCAATACTCTCATACCATACCACCCCTCACCGACGCCTATTTAATAGCCAAGGACCTTTATAGGAGCCTGAGGCAACTTAACTGCACATTGCAATGACAGCCACAGCAGCCGATGGCTCCTCTTGCAATGCCCACTTTTTTGATGGTTTTAATTTTTTGGCTGGGCGGTGGCAGAAGATGGTGGCATGGGTGGCATGGGTGGTTGGATGACACCAGCAAACAAGTGCAGTTGCATTTGGGCATGTGCTGCGGCACTTGGTGGGCGCTTAAATTGCATGCATAGCTCATTGCTTGCCACTCGACGTGGCTGAAGTGCTGCAGCTGGCAAAGGGAAGGTTGTAATGGTAAGCGTAAGCGTAAGGGTAAGGGTAGAGCTACGGTTACGGGTAGGGGTAGTGGCTGGCTGTGTTGGCGACTGCTGTGAAAATGCCAATTGAATTGCTTAAATACTTTGGAAGAGCAGCGGCAGTGTGGAGGTCTCGTCGGCTTAATGGCAGGCAAATACCACGTTTTTTGGTTGCCATATGTGTGTATGTGTGTGTGTGTGTGTGTGTGTGTGCCCCAAAATAAGGCAACATATGCCAATGGCAGGGCATGAATAAACGGCTTGTGCAACTGCCACGAATGAATGAATGAATGAACGATATGAAGTGCAATCAATGCAAAAATGTTTTCAAGTACACAACCAGCCAGTCAGCCAGCCAGTCAGGCAATCTAGACAATCCAGAAGCAGATGCAGTTGCAATGCCAACGGCAAAAAGCACGAGACCAACTAGAGATAATGGCACACAATGTGTGTGCATGTGTGTGTGTGTGTGTGGGAGTGTGTCTGTGTGTGTGTGTATGTGTGTGTGTGTATGGAAGTGTGTGTGTTTGCGTATTTACGTGCGTCGGTGTGAAGGAATTATTTACACACTATTGATTTCAAATTGAGTTGACTTCAAATCCGTCTGAATTGACAGCCAGTCAGTGGAGGCAGGCAACACATGGCAACCGACGCAACGGCTTCAAACGTTTGCTACATCTGCTGTGTGTGTGTGTGTGTGTGTGTGTGTGTTTCTGAAACCGGAAGTTGACTAATGAATTTAATTTGCAGTGGGTGTTGAAGCAAATATAGCGACAAACAGATAGACACACACATACAAGCCAAGCAGTGCAGGCAGGCGGAGGAAGCAGCCAACCAGTGCCAGAGCTTAGATGAAAACGGACCTGGGAGCTGGGAGCTGGGAGGGAAAGCAGTTGAGTTAAATCAGTTAATTGACTGTCAGAATTGAGTGGCTGGCAGAAATGTCTGTGTGTGCCTATAAGTAGGCAACGATTTGTGACCCCTTCAAATCCATTCAATTGTATTTTGGGCACCAACTTCTTAGCTATTTATTGCCTTCTTATTTCATATTGATGAATATTTTTTTTAAAGTGCTACAAGCATTAAGCACATTCATTTCATTAGTTTCATACCTAATAACAAACATTTTTACATCGTGTTATGTCGATATAATATGATTATAAATTCCACTACGTTTGTTTTATATTTTGAATAGCAGAATAACTTTTATTTGAATGGAAGTCTGAGATAGTTTGAGTTGAGTAGGCACTTGCGTTAAATGTCTGTGCAGTCAATCTGATTATGTTCAGTTTTACTTTAGCTTTTACTTGCTACCCACACATAGAAAGTACTAAATATTTATTTGTTTTCTTTTTTCCCTTCTCATTGGTAAATATAACAAGATAATCGCGTCAAATTTCGTATTAATTGTTGATCAAAGAGCAACATGAATGAATATTTAGATAATGCCAGGCGCAACATTCAACGGGCGATGGAGAGCAGCTTCAACTTCCTCTCGGGGGCGAGCAGCATGGCCGGCAATCTTGCCGCGAATACCGGCAGCACCTTATATAGCAGATTGATGATTCTGAAGGCACAGGTAATGGCCGAGAGCAGTGGGCCAACGGAATCCACTTCGAAAGCGGACAGCTCGCAGAAGCAGCAGCGAATGCACCTTGTCAGCGTCGTCTGTGGCTTCCCCAAGGATATCAACATGTATCCGATTTATTTGGATGGGCAGTTTGGCGAGGATGCCTGGTTTAAGGCATCCACAACAAAGGCATACGCACTGGGCGTGGCCGATGGCGTTGGCGGCTGGCGCGCATACGGCATCGATCCCGGTCGCTTTAGCCGCTTTCTGATGCGCTCCTGTGAGCGACTCTCGCATGCCGCCGACTTCAAGGCATCGCAGCCTAAGCAGCTGCTGGCGCGCGCCTTCTGCAATCTACTGGAGCAAAAGCAGCCGATCCTTGGCAGCAGCACCGCCTGTGTCCTGACCCTGCATCGTGAGAGCGGCATCCTGCATGCGGCCAACATTGGCGACAGTGGGTTTCTGGTCATTCGGCATGGCACCATCGTCTGCTGTTCCATGGAGCAACAGCATCATTTTAATACACCATACCAGCTGGCTGCTCCACCACCGGGGCAGAACGTTAATATGCTCACAGATGGGCCGGATTGCGCCGATCTGCTGGAGCTTGAAATGCAATCCGGTGATATACTCATACTGGCCACCGATGGCGTCTACGATAATGTATCTAAGGAGCTGCTGCTACAGGTGCTGAGTCCAGCGGCCGGCATCGATAATCCCGTCCAGCTGCAGAGATACGCAAATTCAGTGGCATTGATAGCTCGCTTGCTCAGCTTAAATCCCAACTACGATTCACCATTTAGCCTAAATGCTAGACGGCATAACATCGAGGCACATGGCGGCAAGCCCGACGACATCACTGTCATCTTGTCGAGCTTTATTCAATAGATACAGCTATCCAGCAATTCACACATCCAACATCATTATCAGTCCCACCACCTACGCAATCACTGGCAGCTGTGCACATCTCTTGCAGGCAATTGCCAGTTCATGCTGCCGGGCGAGACAAGTCGACAATTTAAGCAGCCCTTGACCTCATCACACACTATCAGTATCAATCACATAAAATAGAAAGAGTCCTACTTCATATCAGTGATAAATATTTAAGTCGATACATTTTAAAAACGTCGAACTGCAAAATTAAGTCAAGTGTTTTACTCATCTAGACAATAAATAAGATTTACTTACACCGTTTCATGATTTTCGTTTTTTTGCAGTGATAACATCAAATGCTAGCTTCTTAAGTCCTTTTCCCCAGCGATTCATATTCTTCCCAGATCCTCTCCTTACTGCAAAGAGCATAATAACAATTGTGACTAGTGAATATTGGACGAATGTTGTGGGAAATTAACAAACATGTCTTTTACAAATAGAAGCAGAAGCAACAAATAAAGATTAAAGCTTGGACTTAACAAATCCGTTCTTAAACTAAGACCAAGAATAAGCGAAATTGTTTCGGCTCGAACTTTTATGATCTGTGTGTTCTTCAATGGGCTAATTCTATTTACATTTTGCTGCCACTGAAGATAACATTTGCTGCTACTGTTGTTGTTGTTTTTGTTGTTTTTGTTGGAAGCTTAATTGAAAAATGTTGCCGACTGCATGTCAACATTTTGATTTCCAATATGTTGTGCCCCACACATCGAACCCACAAAAAAAGGGGTCGGTCGCATTATAAATGGGGGCGCGTCCTGTGCAAAATTTGGCTTAAAATTTCACACGTTTGCCCGCGACATATGTCGCCGTGGTCAAAACAGGGCTTGGAGATGGAAATGGTGATGGTGGAGTGCTGGGTGCTGAATGCTGGATTCTGGATTCTGGCGACCGCGTGGTCAGTGCCATCTATAGCCATATAGCCCAGCTTAACCACTTCCGCACAGCCGTCAAATGCAGAGTCCACCAGCTCTCCCTTCACTTCCCTTCCCCCAATGACATTTACCGTTAGCATATCAATAACACACGCTGCGCCGCAGACCGGACTCATAAAATATGGCAACGGCAGTGGCAACATTTGCCCGTCAACCTGCACGGGGCATGTGAAACGTGACGCGTAATGCCAGCCAGCAACGCCTTGCCCTATGCCACACACACACACCAACACACACACACCAACACACACACACCAACCTGCACCACTAACACACCCACTAAATGCCACGACCCGTTTGATTTTGCATTTCATGCAAATTTTTGGTGGCCTGACGCCGACGATGACAAGGCGTACTCTGCCACTCTCGATGCGAATGAGTACGAGAGGGTGTATTTTGTGGCAGGGAAGGGAGGGGGGCAAGGGAGACAGGCACACAACGCTGTCGCATCATCGGAAATGAATCATTTGCTTCGTTTGTCGGCATCCGCTTGGCGCTTATTTCCGTTGCGTCGCTCGTTTTTGGCCTAAACCAGCGCCGACCAAAACGGCCAAATGGCCAACTGGCGAATAACCATCCAACCAACTGAACGAGAAAGGCCAGAGGCCTGACATGTGTGCGCGGCACGCTTCCGTGACAGAACACGGTGACAAGATGGGGACTCCCAGGTAGCTCACAATTTTTTACAGCGTTGCCTTTGACACCTGCCGTTGTGCAACGCGCTGTGATACCCGGGCCGCCATACACTGTGCGACAAGTGTTCATGTGTAATGATGAATGTCGGGGTTTGTGTTAGAAAATACTATTGAAAATTTAAGGAACCCTAAAGCTGCCTTATAGATACGACGAGTAGTAGATCTAAGACATAGACTATCACTTGCAAGCTATATTGTTCATTCACTTTTATAAAACGCTTCTTTATTTAATGGTCAAAACAAACACGATAAACGGTATGCGAAAAATATATCTGATTATACATTATTATTTATTAATCTATATTAGATACTAAGCTAAAGCGTTAATAGCACATTTTGCTTGTAGCTACAAGAATACATATTAAATTTCTGTGGGTTGCGTTCGATGGAAAAGACTACTTTGGTCAGACTTTTTATCCTAATAAAACTCTGAAAATATTCTCTAAATTATATTGTTAAATACGCAAGTTTAGTTTAACAGATAATACAAGTCTCTCTGATCTTAAGAATCTCTTTTAAGTTCATTTTATGGATATTTTACTCGAATATCTAGTATTTCACATAAATATTTTTCGAAATTTTATAGTTTAGCAGAATATTTTAGAAAATAGTTTTGACGTCATCCGCCATTCCCTCAATGATATATTTTTTTATTTGCGCTGTGTTTCTTGGAAGCGTGAAATTGAAGCTGTGGCCCGCATATTAGTGGCCTTTGCTTATCCATTCATTTGACCGTCCTTCCAATGACGCTAGGCCAACCATCTGCTCATCCCTTTATCCATCTGTCCGCTTGTCCGTCCGCCCCGTCCCCGTTCATCCATGCGTTAGTCCACACTCATTTGAGTCCCGCATAAATCAATTGCACTTGTCATCAACTCAATTAATTTTTGGCAAACAAAGTGCAGTAAATCAATTGCTTTGGCAGCTCGGCCCGTTCACCATGCCCTGGCCAGCCAGGCACAGGACACCGAAGGGGTCAACGGGTCTCGACGAACGGTGGCCAGAATGTTCTTTGGCCGTTTGTGCTTCCATTTTTGGATATTTTTTTTTGCTCTGTTTTCCTTTTCGACGTTTGTCATTGGCATTTTTTGTCACTCGGCGCAGTTTTTCCTCTTTTATTTGACCGTTGCATTCAGGACTCGCGTGTCCGCCAGATCGGACAAACAGGCCCTGCTGACTGTCGACTGTCGAGTGTCGACTGTCCATTTTATGAGCCGCCGCCCCATGCATGTTGACACTGTATCAAATGGGGTTAAAAAGTGATTAAAGTAGGTTTGGCAAATGTCAACAATGTTTATACCGTGGCCATTGCCCGGCCGGCGCTCGGCTGCGGGTCCGCACCGTCGATTCGACAAGCAACAACAGAAAGTGAGGCGTGGGGGGGAGGGGCGTGGATATTTGGGAAGCCGGGGGCTTAGGCGTGTAACTGTCGTGCGAGTGCTCTTGACGTTTCGGTATGCAGACCAGCCGGTTCGCTTGACCCTACATCCCCCATCAGTTGCCATGCTGCCTCCCCTTGCTCCAGCTTACCTTCATTCATTGGTAGCGATGTCGTTCGTTTGCTTGCTCGATTCGATTTGCAATTTTTTACATCATATTGTCGCTCTCTTCGTCCGCCCCACCTTGTTACAGGCGTACAGCGAACTGCAAACTGCGAACTGCGAACAACGACCACAACCACATGGCCTCACCCATCTATTCTGCTTTGAGCCGTGTCTATAGACAGCGTTAAAATATGCAACTTTTTTTCCCTTGTTTTGCTATGCGAAAATTGAATTTATGCATTTGCGCTCCAGTCCAACACGTTTCCCATTTCTGAATGTCCCCCAGAACCTGCAGCTGACATTTAGAGTCTTGGACTGGGTGCTGCCGAGCTGCATATCATTCCAACGGCGCCTTTAATCCCCCTAACAAATTCTGCACTGCAATTTTTTGCATTACCATGATTAGCAAATATTATAATTACAATTAATTGAAATTGGAAAATCGGCAAGAATGTCTTTTTCTTTTGCCAAAGAGCTCGCACCCTACATTGCAATGTATTTATGCATTTTGTTAGCTTGCAACTTATACATGTAAAATTTGAATCGATTTATATAAAGACTTTACATAAACGTTTTAAAAAATTTCATTAATTTATTTTGAATCGAATATTTTGAAATCTCTTTTTAAAAAATACATTTCTTTCCATTCACGCTTAGTACAGAAAGTCACATTGTTGATAATAATCCAATTTATACATGGAAATTGAATATAGACAAATTAAATTTTCTTCACACAATTAGAGATTTGAGTAAGTTAACTGTTCTCTTGGGGCACTGTGCAATTATAATGCTCGTATGTAGCAGCATTTGTAATCCAATTTGCATGAGTTGCGTCCAAATCATGCTTGGGGTGCTCTCTGGCTGTAACCCAGAATAATTGCCATGCTTTTGTCTTTGACTCAGATTCCGATGCCGATGCCGATGCCGAAGCCGATGAAGGCACTGGAGGCCACTCCACGGGGTCTACGGGGCATTTGGTCGTATGTCATGCTTGGGCAGGCGATTTATTTTCAACGAAATACTCTTAGAATTGTTGCATAAGTTGCAAATGCAAACTGCAACTGCAACTGCGAGTTGCGAGGAGCAGAAGTCAGCCCAAAAACAAACAGACAGCAGTGCAAACAAAGCTCGATGCATGTAAGGGATGGGGTATGGTATGGGGGAGGGAGGGAGTTAAATGGGGTTGTTGTTTTCGGTATATATCTATATATAAATTACACACCCACATATATAAATTACCTTTTGATAAATCTCAGTAGTTGGCTGCCAACTCTCTCTCTCTCTCTCTCTGTCTCTCCCTCTCGTTCTGGCTTTAGCTCACTCTCTCTCTGTCTCTTTGTCTGTCTCTCTCTCTCTCTTTCTCTCTCTCTCTGCCAAGCAGTCAAAATGCAAAACTACAACTGAAACGTATATAAAAATGTACAGTCATAAAATAGAATGGAATGATATGGAACGGTATGTGGGTGGGCAGAACTGCTAGATGTGTTTGCAAAACTGTGCTATGCACTCACTGTCGCACTTGAGAAATCTTTTCGAACGTAAATCAATCCGTGCAGCTACATCACCGTCCGACTACGACTACGTCCATGAAGCTGACTGCGACACCAACTGCGACTGCGACTGCGACTGCGACTGCGATGCTATTTTCCGGCAGAGAGCCGGGGCAACAACTGCACCAATTGCTTTTCTTGATTGTTTTCTGCGCTGCTGGCTGTGCTTTGGTCCCGAACCGAGCCTTATATCGAAATGTAAATTCAAGTTGCAGTTGAAATACTCGAAACCCCTTCCTGCTGCTGCTCCTGCTGTTGCTGCTGTTGCTGCTGCTGTTGATGCCACTCCTGCCCCTTGGCCTGAAGTGGCGCCCACTCGAAGAGAGCTATGACAAAAGCGAAGCTACACAAAAGCGATAACGACACTCATCATCAACCAAAGTCGGATTTGCCAGCTCCTTTACCCAAACTAACTCCCTAGCCTCAATCACCCCCTCTCACTCGCACCGTGTATGTCCATCTCTATTGTGCTTACGCTCAACGCATGCATTTCGAAAAACGCAATTTTTGGGTCCTTGCCCGGAGAACTTCCCATTGC